GTCCCTGTCTACCACCAGAGCTTCGAACCTGACCCTTAGTGCCACCGCGCCCTTCGTTCACAGACTCTCAGCCCCCTGACCAGATGTCATCGTACGCCGACCACCGCCCTCCTGCTAACCGTCTTTCGGCATAGCCTTGACGCCGCTCGCCATCGCCGGTGCGTCGTCGTTCTTCATCGCCGGAGCGGAAAAACTTATTGCCGCAGTTCCAGAGGCAGGAACTGCGTCGCCCGCGAAAAGACCAAGGCCTCTCTGTTCGCCAACGAATGTTCTCGACGTATATGTCAACGGTGTAGCTGCGCTAACTCTTGTCGACACTGGTGCCGCAGTTTCTGAGATCAGTACCAGACTCTGCCGCTCGCTCAAAAAAGTTATGATGCGACTAGCAAGTATATCACTTCGTACAGCAAGCGGAGAGCACGTCACGCCGGCCGCTGCCTGTACTGCTCGCATCGCGATCGATGGCCTCATCTATGTCGTCGGATTGCTATTGTTGGATTCCTGCTCCCATGACTTCATTTTGGGTTGGGACTTCCCGCTAATAAGGCCGTCATCGACTGCTCTCGTGCTGAGGTGGAAACTGAAGTGTTTGGCGACGCTCCGTTATATGATGCTGTTTAAACGGGGGACAAACTATTTGTTGCTCATCATACCGCCGCATGTGGCGGTATACTTAACCTTCTGTCTGCCCCTAAGCCGCTTCCCAGAGAAGGGAAGCGGCTTAGGGGGAGACAGAAGGTTAGGTGGGCAGATGAGATTAAGAAGTTTGCGGGTATAAATTGGCAGCAGCAAGCACAGGACCGGGTTAACTGGCGGAACATGGGAGAGGCCTTTGTCCTGCAGTGGACGTAGTCAGGCTGATGATGATGATACCGCCGCACTCTTTTGCCCTTACCATGGTGTCTTGCAACTCGCTCGCCGAGTCGAGAGCCTTTTTCACGCCATCTGTCCTTTTCATTCGTCGCAAGTGTTTGCCGCTACCTTATGCCCTTCTAGAACTTCATGACGGTGACAGCAGACTGCTCATCTAGAAACTGCTGTCATGTCCTTTAACACTACTTTGGGGTGAGTGCGTCGGGCGTGTTTACAGTCTCGACCCTTCTGCAATTATCGACATGCCCGCTAGTCCTTCCGCCGAACACGAAGTCGCCGGATTGACCTGTACCTTTTCGCCGCAGACTACTAAGCCTGACGTAACGAGCAGCTCCATCGCCGACACGTTAATCGGTTCGCAACGTGCTGAGCTTCTGTACTGCTGGACAAATTCCGTTCTTCCCTTGGCTGCCAGCATACTCCCCTCGGCCGCACGTCAGCTGTGTGTCACCGCATCAACACGGGTACCAATGCGCCATTGCGTCAAAGACTTTATCGTGTGTCCGCAGCCGAGCGCCAGGTTATCGATGACCAAGTAGCTGACATGCTCAAGCGTGGCGTCATCCAGCCTTCGAATAGCCCCTGGGCATCTCCAGTCGTTTTTGTTAAGAAGAAGGACCGGTCGATTCGCTTCTGTGTTGACTACCGTCACCTTAGCGAAATAACTCGAAAGGACGTTTACCCTTTACCGAGAATCGACGATAGCCTTGACTGCCTCCAATGTGCGAAGTTTTCCAAGGTACGGAGTGGCTTCTGGCAAGTCCCTCTGGCACCTGAAGATCAGCCTATGAAGGCCTTTGTCACACCTGATGGCCTTTACGAATTATGTCATGCCTTTTGGTCTTTGCAACGTGCCCGCAACATTCGAGCGTATGATGGACAATATTTTACGTGGCTTGAAGTGGAAAACATGCCTGCGCTACTTGGATGACGTGGCTATATTTTCACCAGATTCGCCAACGCATCCGCAGGCTAGATGAAGTACTGCAGGGCCTAACTGACGCCGGACTTCAGCTCAACCTGAAGAAAGGCCGCTTCGGCGCAAGTCAGCTCACCATCCTCGGCCATGTTGTCTCTAGAGATGGTATTCTTCCTGACGCCGCCAAGCTTCGGACAGTTGCAGAGTTCCCTAAACCTGCATCTCTGAAGGCTCTGCGCAGCTTTCTTCTTCTCTGCTCGTATTTCCGCCGCTTTATTTGGAATTTTGCCATGACCACCGCCCCCTTGACTGAACTACGCAGTGACACGAAAAGTTACGCTTGGTCACCCGCCTGTGACGATTCTTTCAAAAAGTTGCGCCGTCTGTTAACCTCGCCACCAATCTTGCGTGACTTCAACCCCACTGCTCCGACTGAGGTACCACCGTACACACTCGGCGCCGTGCTCGCGCAGCGCAAATCGGAATTCCAGGAGTACGTAGTCGCATACGCAAACCGTACCCTCACCAAAGCGGAAAAGAACTATTCTGTGACATAGGAGTGTCTGGCAATTATATGGGCTCTCGGTAAATTTAGACCGTACTTATATGGTTACCTCTTCGACGTAGTCACTGATCACCATGCGCTTTGCTAGTTATTCACATTGAAAGACCCCTCCGGCCGTTTAGCTCGCTGGGCTTTGCGGTTGCAAGAGTTCGACATGCGTGTTGTCTACAGGTCTGGTCGACGTCACACTGATGCCGACGCCCTATCACGTTCACCTGTGTTCTCCGAAGCTCTGCATGTCTATCTGCTGTGGACGAAATGGTGTCGTTCCTAGAAAACTGTGACATGGCGTCTGAGCAACGTAAGGATGACTGGATCAGCACTCTTCTGCGATTCCTTTCAGACCCGTCGACTTCTCCATCTTCTCGAACGTTGCGCCGTCAAGCGGCTCACTTTGAGGTCCGCGATGGCCTCCTTTATCGCAGAAACTACAAGTCCGACAGCCGAAAGTGGTTACTCGTCATACCTCGCCATCTTCGTGCTGCAATATGTTCAGCTTTCCACGCTGACCCTCAGTGCACACATGCGGGCGTCTTAAAAACATACACTCGGCTCTCGTCCCGGTTTTATTGGCGAGGCATGTACACCTTTGTGCGCAAATGCATTCAGTCATGCCCGCAGTGCCAACTACGCAAAGCGGTCCCTCATCACACCTCTCGTCCGATACAGCCAATCCCTTGCCCAGCCAGGCCTTTCGACCGCGTTAGAATCGATCTGTGTGGGCCTCTTCCATTCACGGCTTCCGGAAACCGTTGGATCGTTGTCGCTGTCGACGTCTTGACGTGATACGCAGAAACAGCCGGTTTGCCTGCTGCCACAGCACGCGACGTATCGTATTTTCTCCTGCGGAACATCATTCTCCGTCACGGCGCACCGCGTGAACTTCTCAGTGACAGAGGACGTGTATTCCCCTCTGAATTCGTCAACGCATTCCTTGCCGAATGCCGTACCATTCACCGGACTACCACCGCCTACCACCCGCAGACGAATGGATTGGCGGAAAAATTCAACCGTACCCTAAGGGACATGATAATAAGTATGTTGCCTAAGACCACTTCGATTGAAACCTCATTCTGCCTTTTGTGACATACGCATGCAACACTGCTCCACAGGCGACTTCGGGCTTTTCGTCATTTTTCCTGTTATATGGCCGAGACCCTTCCACCACATTAGATACCATTCTACCCTACCACCCCCATTCCTCCGAATGTACGCCCATCTCTGAAGCTGCCCGCCGCGCCGAGGAATGCCGTAAGCTCGCCCAGTCGTTTACAACCATCGACCAATGGAGACAAAAATCTCGACATATGACGATAACCAGCCTTACCGTAACCTTGTTCCGGACACTCTTGTGTGGCTTGGGGTTCCCGCTGTCCTTACAGGCCTTTCCTCGAAGCTTGTTTCAAAATACCAGGGACCCTACAGCGTTGTCTCGCAGACTTCACCTGTTAACTACATTGTCGAACCCGTTACGCCATCCACAGACAGACAAGTGCTTTTGGGGTCGTGAAACCGTTCACGTACAGCGGTTGAACATTATTACGATCCGCTCGTACTATGTGAGTCGCCAGGATGGCTCCTTTTCCGATGGGGGACAAAATGTGGTGAAGAGGAATGCCCACTACTGCAGTGACATCGACACGTTGGCGCGATCTAAGGCTGCCTGGTTGCTGCTGCGACGCTGCTACCGCTTTTGACCTTGCATTTACATTATAGAGCACATAAAATACAATGTTTGTTTCACTGCTACAAGAGAGAACAGCAGACACTGCGACCACATTTGATGGTCTTCCGACATGTCGAAGCTGAAATTTGCGTGAGTTGGTTTTTAATCTAACACAGATATATGACTGTAAGACCTGAAGCAAACATAGAAGCACTGAAAATGAAAACATCGCCATAGGATTTTCTTTCTAGACACTTTCACAATGCAGTTGCTTTGTGGAAGGACATTTCACTGCCACGCAGACTTTCTGGCTCAGACTTGAACCACGATTTTTTTTTCCTTTGCGTCCATCTGCTTTTTCGCCCACAGACAACGCTACTGACGCCGATACAGAATTTTTTTCCGACACGATCTCCTTAACGTTGTCACGTGAAGATATCCAAAGTCTCTTCTCGCTGTTCTTGGGCTGATGTAGACTGTTAGCCAAGTATGGCGCACATCTTCATTAGTATGCACGTACCCATCACACGCAGTTGAGGGAAAGCTCTTCATGATGTGCGCGACAAGCGTTTTCACATTATTCACGTCATGAGCCCGAAAATCGTGTTCTTCGTACACTCGCGGCCTCTTGTGCTGGTTTTGGTATCAACGAAGTCAACGAGACAACCACGAGAGCAGCCATACATACAGGCAGACAGACAGATGAATAAATGGATAGATGAATAGATGGATAGGTGGATAGCTGGGTAGATTGATTGATATGTTGATAGATTGATTGATATCTTGATAGATGGATAGCTGAATAGATAGATAGATAGATAGATAGATAGATAGATAGATAGATAGATAGATAGATAGATAGATAGATAGATAGATAGATAGATAGATAGATAGATAGATAGATAGATAGATAGATAGCGTTCAAAGTAACCATGGTTTCTTATGAAATGCTTCATCTTTGTTAATAATGCTCGCAGATGTCCGGCTCCATCATCACGTACGCCGTCATCCTAGTGCAGACGAGCGAAGAACTTGCTGAGCACGTAGATGTCTCCCGGCTGGTCTGAACTGAACACAACTACCACGCTTGGATTGACTGGTGGAAAACGTGGTAAGAAAGTGAGCGCAGGATTCAAAGCAACACCGCCGAAAACGTAACATGATCAATACGCTAATATTGATTTCCAGTGATTCACTAAAAGCCAGCGCTTGCCGCCGCATGCCCTCTCTATATACTCCCGCGAGGGCTCAACAAACCAAGGAGCATTTTAACTGCTACGAACCCGTTCGTGTAGGTACAGCGTGCGCACCTCTTTAAGTACATCAATACATTACTAAATTACCTGCACACATAAGTAACGCATAACACTGAACTCGAGCTTTTGACGTAAACCCGACTAATTGGGGAGTACAATTATAGAATAAGAAGGACATCGGACGTGAAAAAGAATACCAAAATTACATTGAAAGCTATAAAACGAGTGAAGTATGTGCTCTACGAAACTTAAAATGAGAAGCATATGATGAAGGGTTCCGTCACATCTGTTGAATTCGTTGCTTTAATTTATTCAAAGTGGGTTCCAAGTGTTGTCTCATTGCACTCATTCGTTTTTTTAACGCTACGATAATGTTTTTCTTTGTCACCTAGCTAATGTGTAATTGTAATGATGTACGTGACAGCTAGCACTACGCCGTATTCGGAAGGAGGAGTAAAAAGAACTTTATTCATTCCAAGAGGGAAAGGTGCGGTGGTTGAGTGTCAGAGGAGCCTACCATGTGTAGGTCTCCGCTACCCTCTTGGCCCAGTCCAAGATCTGGTCCTGGACCTCGGGCGCCGAGCTGCACATAGCAGCCTCCCACTGCTCTTCACTATTAATGTGTAGTGAATTAGGTGGTGGGTTTCGAGTACATCCCCACATGATAATGGTGTAGGTTTGCACTTTGTTGGCAGAAAATGCACAAAGGAGAGGGGTATATCGCAGGGTGTATAAGATGCTGAAAAGATGGGGTACGAAACGTACGCGTCTGTGACTGGTGTCATAGTATCTCATTGTAGCGCAAAGCTCCATGATGTAAGGAGGGGGGTTATATAGTGCGCTGTAGGCGTTAGTGGTTTGTTATATCGTGGAAGGTCAAAAGACGATCTCTCGCGTTGAAAAAGGCCGTGTAGTCTGACGGGTCGCTACGGCGTCTGTAATTTTTCGTATAGCGTAAGTCGGCGTTCCAAGTGATGCCTAATCGTATGGTTTGTTGCATGTACTAGTTGTAGATGGCAGCACACCGCCGTATTCTAACGGCGTCGTTACGGCGTCTGTCATTTCTTCGTGTAGCGTTGGATGACCGCGAGAATGTTATATTATAAAAAAACACAAAAATTGCGATCACAACTGCCGCCAGATAATATTTCGCACGCCTAAAACACCCAGAAGACGCCAGCTTTTGGGACAGTGAAGGTATCTTCCGGTGGCTTCACAAGTGCCCGCGTTAGAAAGCAGGGATGCGTCGTCGAGCTGTTTTAATGGAGGTCAGTGGTCTGGCCATCCGTCCGTGCGTCCGTTCGTTTGGATGTCTGTCCGTGCGTCCATCCGTTCATGATTGATGATTGACTAGGGCAATCCTCCCTGCGGAGGGCTTCGCCCCACTCGTCACCATTCACCTCGAGTATATATGCTGTGATTTCTTTTCTAGGTTTCCTATAAATTGTGAATTTCAACCAAATAAAGCTTTCGCTGTGTTTGTAACTTTTTTTACTTTGACATTTCACTGACATCACATATTAGTGCCTCTGTTCCTATAGCTCATGTTCCGATAGCGACCGATGATCGCGCATGGTCGCTAGCCATCTTCAAAAAAAAGCGCGATTTCAAACGAGCGTCATTATTTACAGAATGGATATCGTGCCGAAATATTTCGGAATTGGTATACGTCTAATCCTTATTAAATCAGGGAATAGTACAACTGGAAAGTTTCATTTTCATTTCACGACCCCTTTAATAAAGCTTCTTCTCTTTCACCCCGCGGTGTTTCGCGAAGCCGACGCAGGCAGCGTCTGCTAGCGAGTTTTTTTTGTTTTGTTTTGTTTTTTTAGAAATGGACCATCTCATCCAAGGAAACCCAATGCGAAGCAGCAGTGGTCAGCACGGTCATCAGCTGGTGAACGTGAAATACGAGCTTCCAAAATGAAAGCTTCCGACCCGCCGTGTTGGTCTAGTGGCTAAGAGACTCGGCTGCTGACCCGCAGGTAGCGGGATTGAATCCCGGCTGCAGCGGCTGCATTTCTGATGGAGGCGAAAATGCTGTGGGCCCGTGTGCTCTGATTTAGGTGCGCGTTATAAAGAACCGCAGGTCGGTCAGAATTTCCGGCGTCCTCTACTACGGCGTCTCTCATAATCATATGGTAGTTTTGAGACGTTAAAACCAACATATCAGTTAAAATAAAAGCTCCAGAAGTCGGTCATCAGATCCGACGTGAAGGCTGCCATCGTGCGTATATTGCGGAGACAGAAAATTGAGAACAGCATGCCAATGACGTAAACAAGACAAAAAATTATTCAAATGCCTTTTCAAAACATACACACGCACACAAAAAATGAGCCATAAAGTCGACCATCGAAGGGGATATCGATGGGGATAACGCTATGATCTTGGCAAAAAGAGGAAAATCTGTCTTCAAGATACCACCTAGAACTCGTTCCGATTCAAATAGCAGATAATTCACTGAACCTAAGGACGTAACTCTTCTGGAACACACGCTGCTTGCGTCGTGTTTTGAAGCATTCAGGCGCCCTAACTTTTATTGTGAACAATGCTCCTGTCGGGGGAGCTGAAACGTTTTTCTTAGAAGTGTGGCAGCTTGGGCTAGTTGGTATGGCATGACGATAGTTACAGCGCGAGAACAAAACGTCCTTCTTGTAGTAAGACGGTAAGTCGGGCCAGTTGGTTAGATTCCATCGTGAACTTTCTTACAGCGCAACACCAAAAAAAATACAGGACAGGGAAGGAGTAGAACAGAAAGAAAAGACGGCGCTGACTCACAACTGTTGTTTATTGGAAAAAACGGGGTGAAAAATATTGGCAATATATATAGGTCCCGGCAGCCTACACCACAACATGCGCAGAATACGAGGTGCGCCGAGGTAGCGTTATCACACTCATGGCAATAAACAAGCTTGGCCTAAATAACTTAATTCTTTTTCATGCAGTGTGACGGATGGTTCACTAACGCACTTGCTACCCCTAATCTTTATATGATATGCCTCAGCGATTTCTCTAGTTATCCGGTTAGGATGTTTGAAGATGATGGTGGTTCTCTCAAAAATGGGACGACAACCGCATGACCTGCAATGTTCCGGCAGATGAAGTCGCGCGATCCCTTGAAGAGATAACTCATGCTCTCTTAAACGAACATTCACACATCGTTTTGTTTGTCCCACGTACTCCCTGCCACACGATAATGGAGTTAAATACACAGCTTTCTTTACGCATGCGATGTACTTGTTTTTATGATTCACGGCGCATCTCCCTTTGGCTTCTTCTTGTCTCTGTGTAGTCGTTTTTTTTATGTTCGGTGTCCTTCTACGTCTATAAGCAATACTCATTACATCAAAAGCTTATTGAATGCCTATAATTTGATAACTGCCCTTTCGAGCCATGACAAAAACAGCTATACAGCTGTTGAAGCATACACAGTGGCCTCGAGGTCACGCTTGAGGGGCGTCTTAGAAGGCCATCGTCGGGAAAGTGCGCGACAAAAGTGCCTTGCCAGCATTTGCATACTATAACCGTCCGAAATGACAGCAGCCATCGTTTCCTTGTTCTGCCACCCCATATGCGATGGTCGTGGAAGTACACTGGAAGGGGGTTGCAATTATTATTGTACCTATACGCAAAAGTTGTGGGTTCACTTCCCAGCTGATTTAGGTGCACGTTCAAGAATCGCAGGTGGTCGAAATTTTCGGAGCCTTCTACTACGATGATTATTATACCACAAGGATTATTATAACTCACTGTTCACTTTGATTCGTTTTGTCGTCATAAATTAAAGCTCATTTTTAAAATCTGGAGTTCACAACGTGATTTCCCGATATCTTTATTTATGGTCTTCATGTAGCTGCGTCAGACAAAAAAAAAAAGACAGGGAACAACAGTGCTGCACTCGTGTAAGCCGAAAGCCTGGCTATGCTCATCCGCAGGTCGCGATATCGAATCCCGGCTGTAGGCCCATGTGCTCTGATTTGAGTGCACGTTGGTCGAAATTTCCGGGTCCCTGCACCAAGTCGTATCTCATATGGTGGTTTCGGGACGTTACACCCTACATATCTGGACGTCTCGGGCGAACACTTTTTCTCTTCGTGTTTATTTTTCAATGGAAAGCAGGCCTTAGCAAACTGCCCTCGACACATTTGTTAGGCAGTACGCGCGTCTACGCGCCTACGCGGCCGCACACTTAGTCGTCGATGCTGTGGCTTATCATGAATGATCACTGATACGTTTATAGTAATGGGTGAAAAGCTTTACGCCACCCGATCGTCCCGTAATTCACCTGGTGTTACTGTGTTGAGGCTCTACGCTTCTGTGCGCAGTATCTTTTAACGACGCTCCAGCATAAGGTTTTTTCCCCAAACACCAGCGTGGCTCTGTGGTAGAACTCGTGACGACGATGCTCCTGAGTTCGATTCCGCATTGTGACACCCCACAATGTCATTGATCGCGTCGAAAAACCTTATTGAACCACAGATGCGGCCGGTGGAGAGGCGTCGCAGTGTCTTCTATTATATCTACTGATATGCTAGCCATACTGACAGTACTCCCGAGCACGCAGCATAAAAGCATTCCAAATTATCTTAGTGCGATAAAAAAACTTTCCTACCATTCATGACATTCGTAGCTTGTAATCGTTACAGTCACGGTTAGCGAAAACAACAAAAAAAAAAAACTTCAGAAGCACTGACATTGCATAAAGATGTGCTTTTTTTTTTTTTTGTCAACGGAGTGGTACAAAAACGCGCGTGTGCCGCTGCTAACCCGCGTGGTGCGTCGAACCGGAAGCCGTAGTATCCCACAGTTTGCTGCGATTGCCCATATTACCGGTTGCCTATTTCAAGCGAAGGCAAAGTTCTTCATGAAACACGGGAACAAAGGAAAGGTAGAGTAGCGCGTTATAGAGAAACTTACTCAGCGTGAAATGATGCCAAGATCGATTACAGCTGCTACCACTACACGTACAGAAAGAAGAAACCTAACCTTATGAATAAATGTTTCAATACGTAGTCATTATGAAACCTAGCCAGACATACCTTTCGCCATATATTTCGTACATTGTGTTTGTCATGTTGTTCATGTGTGTAATGTTCGATGTGTGTTGATTGGCATTATATTGGCTGCGTTGTTTGGATGCCTAGTTATTTGTTTGATTCGGCTGGCCAACTTGCCGTTGTGCGAAGACTTTAATATACGTCGCCTGTTCGTTTGCACGAGCGCCTGAACGGCGTCCATGTGTTTCAAGAGCATGGTCTTTCGAAACCGCACATGCTTAAAGGTTAAAAAAAAAAACATGCTTAACAGATAACGATTCACACAACATCAAATAGCTCTATGTTTTAATCATTCAATGTATATTGTCATGGGGTCGTGACGCGGATAAAGAGAGCAGACTGCGTGTTCAGTTTAAACTGTTTATTTGGTTGACTTTCTGGCCACGAAAAAGGAAAGTCAGATTACAGCAACACACTGGCACTGATAGCAGCGTCGGCCGTCGATCAACTGACAAGTGGCGAAGCGTGTCGCCATTTATACACTTGCCATTGAATATTCTAGCGTTATCGCTAGCACCGATGACGTAGGTTCCAGGATAATCTATAATGTTCACGATGTGGGTGTAATCTTAACAAAATTATCTACAATAACCGTGAACCTCCTGGAACAATGAGGCGAATTTCGCGCTGAGCATTCGGGCAGGTTTTGTGGGTGAAAACCGAATGAAACATAAGTGTAAAGAAGAAATGCACGTGGCAATATTATGTGCGTAGAGTATACCTATGTAACAACTTATTCCTAATTTTCGGCAACGTCAAAGTAAAACGCATAAAAATGCTGCACGTGAAAAATCTGCATGGTGGTTGGTAATATTTACAAGTGACTTGATTGTACGCATTTAATTCCTGCAGGGCGCTTGGCTTTTTTCTGTGGGATATGGTGATGTGCCCCTTCACCTGGACGAGCTGTTCAGAGTGACGCAGAAAGTCTGCAAGTGATATATTTTTATCAAAGACGAGCCCAAGACACATGCCAGAAAAGCTATCTACTAAGACATTTCAGAAATATGAGGACGCATATTTATTGTATATTTATACATAACAGCCGCTACAACGCGGCTGCATGAAAGAAGAGGACGAAGTTAGTTTTTATTTGATGCTGGACTGGCGCCATCTTGCTCGTCTGCGCGTTGTGAATAGATTATCAAAGAAGTTACTCGTAACATTATGTTCAGACATTTGCCATGCAGTGCAAATCTAGGCACAGGCGAACCCGCATGGCTTCTTGCTGTATGAGTGGATTGATTCTAGCGCGACCAGCCAATATGATGGGTCGGACAGAAGTTCCGAGGCACTAAAGACAGAACTGGTTTCGTCCTTGTTCTTACGCGTCTTCAATTTTTTCCCAGATCGTGCTCCAACAAGAACGCGTTTGAGGCTAAGCAGGGATGTTCATAAAATGTTTTTGAACATTGAATGCTAAAAATAACTTACGAGTGCAATAAACAGTCAGCAGGCAACCTATATATGCATTGTCAGGCCCATGATGTAGTGCAATGTGCTCGCCAAGTATTGCTTTGATAGGTTTCTGAGTGGTGAAATACGCATTTGCTCATATATTGTTTACATTGCCCAGCACGATTTTGTTGATTTTAACGACTACAGTATAGCTTCCACGATGTATTTGAGTTATTATTGGCCACTGCATTCATCTTACGGATGTCTTGAAGCATGCTCTTGTGCAGACCAATCTGGCATTCCTTACACACTTATTGCTTGTACATATAACATACAGTGACTTTTGTAATTTCTTAAACACCATGCTTGAATAAAAAAAATTTTAACCACCCATATTTGTTTGCTCATTCAGCACAAAACAATTCATAACTTCTTTGCGCAAACACGGACACAAGGAAAAGAGGCAAACAACACGGGCGCAGTTTGTTTGCGCCCGTGTTGTTTGCCTCTTTTCCTTGTGTCCGTGTACGTGTTTGCGCAAAGAAGTTATGAATGAGTACCAACTCGCCCAACTTTCAGTACTGTTGTTACAAAACAATTGTTTATGCACACGACCTGTTGTACAGGGTTGTAATCAGCGGTACTACACACGGAGCTACTCAACAATGCAGAAATTACGCGGCGGATAGCGATTGCACAGCAACTCAGTGCAGTTGGTGTTCTTTGCTCAGGCAGCAACTACAGTCTTCTGTTCTTAGCACTGCAAAAATGCTCTCTTAGTTTTTGTTGCAGATGCGACAGTTTGTGATACTGCATGTTGCCATGCTCTAAAAACTGCCATACACTGTGAGGCAATGCTTCCGGTATTCCGCCAAGCAAACAATTGCGAAGGAACTTTTCTCTATGATTCGCATCGAGGAACTAACAAAATATAGCAGTGCCGTTGTCGAATTGTCAAGTGTGCTTGGCCGGTGACACCTTGCAAAGTATGGGTTCTCTGGAACTTAGCAGAGCCAGTTTCAACCAAACTTGATGGTGCCCGATGAATGGATTCCCCAAACGTGGTACAGGGGATTCCCTTCAGAGAGAAAACATCAACTTTTGCTGATGCTGAAAATCCAAGGTTTTATTGGATCCTTGATGACGTACATGTTGGATTTGATCAGTCATTCCAATTCTCAAAGCTAAATCAAGTTAATTCTTCATTGTATGTGCTGACTGATCATGTTCAGGTAAAAAATAACATATTGTTGCGCACATGGACGAAGGCAACGAAGCGTATATGGCGAATGCACTTGTCGCCAGGAGTTAAAAAGGAGAAAGAGGATGAGGAGGATTATTAACCAGCCGGCAGCTTCTGAGCTGCCCCTCACGACCTAATAAACAGTCCCTTTCAACCTCTACTGGTCTCTTTCAAGCGTAACAGAGTGGTGGAAGAGCTGGATAAGCGTTTCAACTACAGAACAATCACCGCTACAGCTTCGACGAAGCCAACTTGCCGGCCTCCCACCATCTGCCGTGAGTGCCTTCGACATGTCCGAAGAAGAAGCAGGCGTTCCCAGGACAGCACCGCCTGGTCCGCTTCCGTACTACCGAGTTCCACCGCCCTTCGGAGGAAAAGCCGGAGAAGATGTTGACGCCGGGCTCACCAGGTACAAGCGAGTAAGCAAGTCCAACGGTTGGGATACAGCAGCGCAGCTAGCCAACGTGATGTTTTCCCTGACGGACACCGCACTGGTGTGGTACGAGAACCACGAGGACACGCTCACGACGTGGGACCTTTTTGTTGAAGAGCTCAGGGCGTGTTTCGGCAACTCGGTTGCTAAAAAGAAGCGGGCTGAGTAAACACTGTTGCAACGGGCACAGCTACCAGGTGAGACATGCACCACTTACATAGAAGAAGTGTTAAGACTATGCAAGGTGGTCTGCGCTACCATGTCAGAAGAAGACAAAGTCGGTCATCTGCTCAGAGAGATTGCTGAGGACGTGTATAATTTTATCATTGAAAAAAAAAAGCTTCAGTTCTGTGTCCGACGTCATTCACATTGCTGAACAATTGAAACGCTCAAGATGCATCGAATCGCGCCCGTTTAGTCGGCTGGCTAACATTGCAACTGTTGCCAGTGTGGACACGAATCCTAGCCTCGACCTCTTTCCTACCATTCGACAGATTGTTCGCAAGGAACTGTCCCATTCAGAAATGTCGTGTTCGACAGCTGACCATCCCGAGTTCTGTTGGCCACGTGAGGCTATAGATGTGCCTCCTTTGGTCCCATGGCAACCGACGATAAGCGCGGCAACTGTGGAGTACAGCCCAGCTCCACAGTTAAGGATGACAACCCGATTTTCTGTTTCGCGGTATGAACGACGCCCTCAGCGCATGCCTCTTCGACACCCGACGTATCGTTACGACGTACCCGGCCAGTATACGCGTTATACAAGAACAAATGATGACGCTCGATTCATCGGTGAGCGATCGACGTTTCGACCTCGTTGGTGTGCTATTCCTATAGTGTTCCAGGCCACATATCGTGGTTTTGCAACCGTCGGGTGACTCCTTGGTATCACCAGCCATCTGACTTTTCACGACCCTTCGAACAGCCTCATGGTGTCCGGGCGGCTGGCCCACATACCACCTGATGACAACTATTAGCCCAGAACTTCCGCAATCACTCCCCGGCATCTAACAGAAGTTCAACGCCTCCACCACAACCTCGTGCTCATCGTTCTCCTTCGCCGCTGCGTCGCAAAGCGCCCTCTTCGCCACCGGAAAACTTACCAGCGCGGTTTATGGGGGTGAGGTCGCTGGAAACGTGCTACTCACAGAAATACTACTTCTGTGCATGTTTAAAAGCAAAGTGCGTGTTTTTGTGGATCATGTGCCTGTGATGGACTTGGTGGACACAGGTGCAACGATTTCCGTGATGATCGAGTGCTTCATTTAAAGACGTGTTAGGGCGGAAAGTTGTTTTTACCTGGGATGAAACTTCGACGTTCTGTGGGGTGAGTGGAGAGCCATTGCGCGCCATTGGTGTGTGTAGTGCTGAAGTATTTTTGGGAGGCCTTATCATAAACGGAGTTTGCAATTATTCTCCGGTCGACACACTACGTCATTCTTGGCTTGAACTTTTGGCGAGAATGTAGTGCCACTGTAGACAGTCGCACGGGGAAAGTCTTTGTGAGTGGCCAGATGCCGTCAGAACTTCTGGAAACCCCTGTGAACTACCAAACTACGCTGTGTGTCTGTGGTGATATGTTCATACCTGCGTTGTCTACCGTACGTGTTTCTGTTGTTTGTCGCGGCGCGGATTCTGACAGCTTCGATGCGAGCTTAGAACCAATGCACATAAACTGCGTGAAGTATGTTTTGTTTCCCCATTGTGTGGTGTCGATCGATGGTGGACGAACTGGCCTATGGACTGTAAACTGTTGATTAGAGCTCGTGACACTACCGGATGGTTTGAAATTAGCTTCGGTCAGCAGAGAACGCGTGACCTTATCAGTGGTCGAGCTCACAGACCTACCGAAGCAACGTGCCGGAATTGGTTGTCGCAGTTTGGACGGGGTGCTTATGGCAATGATAAGTCGCCTAGATCAAGCGAGCGCCAAAATTTAATGAATGTGCTGTCGAAGCACGTTTCGGTATTTGACTTTGAGCAGAAGGGCAAAGTAATCCATATCTCCATGTCTCGAACGCGCCATACCATCAACACTGGCGCGGCAAGTCCGATTCGGCAAAAAGCATATCGTGCTTCCCCGTCAGAAAGACAAATTATCAACGACCAAGTGCAGGAAATGATGCAAAAGAGAGTGATACAAGAGTCAGCCAGTCCGTTAGAAGCGCTGGTAATCCTTGCTAAGAAGAAAGAAGGATCTTGGAGATCTATTGCAATAGGATGGAAAGGTGGGCTAGTTGGTAATTCATGATGGTTCAGCGAACTGGGAGCGCGGGGGTAAACACAGACTCAAAGCAAAGAGGAGGCACACAGCACGAGCACTCAGCCTGAGTGCTCGTGCTGTGTGCCTCCTCTTTGCTTTGTGTCTGTGTTTACCCCCGTGCTCTCAGTCCGCTGATCTTGGAGATTTTGCGTCGACTATTGCCGACTGAATGCCGTGACTAAAAAGGACGTATACCCGCTGCCACGTATAGGGGACGCAATAGACTGCTTACATTCGCCTCTTATTTTCCCTCCATGGACTTACGATCCGGCTATTGACAAATTTCGATGCACCCAGAGGACAAGGAAAATACTGCCTTTGTAACTCCTCATGGGCTCTTTGAATTAAACGTGATGCGATTTGTACTATGCAATGCTCTGGCAACGTTCGAGAGGTGTATGGACACCATTCTGCGTGGCTTGAAGTGGAACATCAGCATGGGCTTCCTCGACGACGTAGTCATCTTTCGCCGCACGTCCAATGAACACAACTCTTGTCTGGATATTATTTTAAACTGCATCGGAAACGCTGGCCTAGTTTTAAACTCGAAGAAATGCCACTTCGGAGACCGCCAGACGCTTGTGCTCGGGCATCTGGTTGACAAGGATGGCATCTGCCCTGACCCCCAGAAGACAGCAGCAGTTGAGGCATTTAAACCGCAGCGTTCCGTCAAGGAACTTCGTAGTGTCTTGGGGCTTTGTTCGTACTTCCACCGCTTATTCCGAAGTTTGCCGACGTTGCGTATCTTCTCACATGCCTCTTACGAAAGGATAATTCCTTTGAGTGGACTCCATAGTGTAATTCTTCATTCCGTCAATTGAAGTTTGGGCTGACGTCACGACCCGCCCTTCAGCACTTCAGTCCTTCTGCTCCAACAGAACATACGGATGCTAGCGGCATAAGTATCGGAGCCGTCCTAGTACAACGTTACGGTGACCGCAAACTCGTCGTCGTATACGCAAGTCGCTCCCTAAGCAGGCTGGAGTGAAATCACGCTGCCATGGAACAAGAATGCCTGGTGGTAATATTTGCAATTCATTGGTTTCGGTCTTACCGATACGGACGCCCATTCACAGTTGTCAGCGACTACCACTCGTTGTGTTGGCTTATCAACCTTCGCGACCATTGCGCCCGTCTTGCGCGCTGGACACTCTGGCTGCAAGAATAGAGCTTTACCGTCGCTTACAAAAGTGGTCATCGACATGCAGATGCGGACTGTCTTTCACGTATGCCACTTAGCACAACGGACTGTGGAGCCGATGACCTTGATCACCTTGCAGTGTCCGTGTCGCCTACGCCCCCGGACTACCCCAGTTTCAAAGCAGAACCGTGGAAGGGCGCTAAACTAGCACCACTCTTCACCGCTGCATCCGCTTCCACTAGCACGCCGTTTCTGTATGCGTGATGGACTGTTGTTCAAGAGGAACCTCTCCAGCAGTGGCGTGCGTTTTCTT